AAGATAAGAAGTATGAAATAAAAGTGGCCTTTATTTTAAGAATGTGGAGAGAGACTCCATGACCCTCTGAGGTCTGGCATTGTCTCTGTCAGACCCGTGGTGTGGGGGCATACGTGTAGCTTAGGTTGGGGTGGAGCCTAAGAGGCATCAGTGATGCACAGGTACCCATTGGTATTCATTTCGCACCACAGGTAAATTGCCTGGGGGGGGTGACCCCAAGATAGAGCCCCTTGGTTCCACCTCCCAGCTTCCCACCAGCTACAGTGTCCCATCTGGGCCAAAATCCTTTCAGTACTCAGGTCATCTCAGCTGTTCCGGAGGCTGAAACAGGAAGATGGTAGCTCAAGCCAGTCCGAACAACTTAGCCAGACCCTGGCCCAAACTAAAATAAAAAGGCTGGGAGGGGGTGTAGCTCAATAGTGGAGTGCTTGCCTCAAAACCTTGGGTTCCATTCCCAGTACCTACAAAAAGAGGCTGAGGAAGACTCCTGCCTTCATTGCTAAGTGCTCAAGGAGTTGCCTATGATTCAGCCTCTGGATTTTTTCATCTGGATGTGGGGGTGACAGCCCTTACCTCCTTCGAGAGATTTCCATCTTCACTGTGATGGAACCAGGCACCAGGGCCCTGGCTCTTCTTCCTCCCTCCCTCTGCCCATGGCCTTGGCCTGTGACCTATCAAATCCTCTCAGCATTAGGGGGTCTGGCCCCCTGCTAGGTCTGTTTTCACCCCTTCCAGATTCATATGCTGAATGTAACCATCAATGTGATGGTATTTGAAGACAGGGCTTTGGGGGATTCAGCCTCCATGAATAAGACTGCACTCTTATAAAAGAGGTCTCCTTGAGCTGCCTTGCTCCTCCCACCATTGGAGGGCAATGTGCCAAGGGCGGGAAGGGGGTGGTCCCTGAACCAGATTGTACGCTTCCAGATCCTCTAAGACCAAATTTGCTTGTGCTATGGTTTTCTCTCCCAGGCTCAAGAACTGTAGGAAATAAACTTCCATCACTTATAAGTCTCTTGGTTTATGGTATTCTGTGATGGCAGCCTTCATGGACTGAGACACCACCTCTTTGATTCAGAGTTCAGCTGCACCATTTTCTTTGGCCCATGGGATGTTAACAAATTCAACGCTGGCAGAAGCTTAAGGCATGGCTTGAGTGTGTGGGTTTGTACCCAGCCAGGCTGCAGAGGACAAGGAAGGAGTGGAATAGAGCCCTACAGGCAGAGGAGAGTCATGCCAAGCCCTCAGGATTTCACCCCTAAATTAGTTCAATGAGCTAAAAATCAGTGAGCGTTTTAGGCACTGGCTTGGAGATGGTTTGTCAGTGTTCTTTTGGCAACTGAAAACTAACATGAAGGCAATTAGCACACAGTAGGTGCTCCAGATGCTGTCCCCTCCCCCTCACTGTCCCACCCCTGCCCCGGCAGGTGCTAACGGGCCCCTCTGGGAACAGTTGGGGACACAAACTGCAGCTCTGGTACATCCTGATCTCCCCTCTCCTCGTTACTCCATTTCAGATTGATTACAGACGCTGACTGCTCAATTTTGATTAAATACTAAGTCATAAGCTGCTTATAAAATGCATGCAAAAAGCTGACATTTATGAAGTCCAATAAACTACTTGTAAGAACAGGAGTGCTGGATGGGAGAAAAAAATAAAATCTTCATCCAAACAAACATCAGTTGACAGCAGACAGATGGTCAGAATCCCTTCCTTGTAAACGAGAAAAATTAAGATTTGGCAAGGGTGGTCTGAAAATAACTAGCAAACATCAAAGTTTCCCCTTTCTATGCTGGTGTTTTTCTGGGCCCGACTTCAATATTTTCACAGGCTACTGCACGGAAAAGGTGTTGCAGGCCTCCGCGTCTCTGGCAAGGGAAGGCTCAGAAATACCAGCGACAATTTATAGGAAGCGGGGTTGCCAGCATCCTGAAGAGAAAGCGAGACTGCACGTGCCCATAAATCCCCAAAGCCCTGCAGCGGCCCTTCCCTGAATCTGCTGGGCGGGGGGCAGAATTTTCTAGCTCAATTTTCCATTAGGATCAGCTTTCACAGGGTGAGTGTGAGTTAATCTTTCAGGGCCAGCAATGGTCTTAATAGAAATGAACCGAGCCTTAAAACCGCAATGCTGGGCTCTCCTTCCCTTCATTAAGCCAAGGATGAGGGTGCTAAGAGGGGCTTTGGCTACAGGTTACATGAGCCCCACAGATGTGGGTGAGGCAGAGGTTTTGGCCGTGGTCCTCATCGCTCCCTGGCCTCTCTGTGACCTTGGAGGTGGACTCACGTGGTTATTTGGTTGTGCACATAGGAAGCCAAGGACTTGCAAATGGGCATAACCCCCAGGGTGGTCCTCCTGCCCCTACCTGCACCCCGTTGGCATTGCACCAGCTGCTTTGCTTACTGCTAAGGTTTGAGTGTGGTCTGTGTCCCTTCCCAGAGAAGATTGTGATTAAAGTCTTGGGCCAAAGGGGGTGCTATTGAGCAATGGCGGGAACTTTGGGACTTTGGGAACCTTTTGGGAGGTCCTTGGGTCACTGAAAGCATGCCCTCTGCCTTCCTGTTTGGTTGCTCTTACAGAAACTCTCTCTCTCTCTCTCTCTCTCTCTCTCTGTCTCTCTCTGTCTCTCTCTCTCTCTCTCTCTCTCTCTCTCTCTCTCTCTCACACACACACACACGCACACACCCACACTCCCACCATGATATGCCAAAGCCCACTGCCCTCACAAGAGGCCAAAACAGGGTCCCCTCCAAACTGCAGAGTCCACGACCTCATCAAGTCAACACCTCTAGAGGGAAAAAGGCAGAGAGCAGCTCCCCCTGAGCCTAAGGGCTGGACCCCCCAGCAGAGCTATGAGGAAGCCCCAGGCAGTGGCCAGGTCCAAGTCAACAGTTGCAGGCATCTGGGGGCATAGCTGGCCTGTGTGAGGGTTCTGCAAGCCGCTGTTACTGTTATTTCTGCTTCTCCTCAATGGCGCAGGTAAAACCATGTGCTCTAAAGGCAACTGTCATATATGTTTTATAAAAGTGAAAACTAATTTTATAAGGACTTATAAGATAAATGAATAAATGAATCTCATGTTAAAAAAAGACAGGGGTTGGGAGAAGGCAAGAAAAGTTACGATGTGTTACATACATGTTCAAGTTCCTCACAATGACTAAAATCCTTACATACCACAAACATGTACTAATAAAAATTAAAACTTAAATCAAAACTAGCATGCATTCTGGTCATTCTTGACTCAAAAATATATTTGTGTGTATGTGTGTACATTTATCAGAATATTCAACAAATACCAGCTGCCTTTCATCTCTAATTCGATTCTTACCTATCAAAATATTGGGGATGGTCAGGGGAAAAGTCAATAAACCCTTTTCCATCTTTTGCCTAAAAACATTAGTGCATATTAATTTTGGTGCATATTAATGCATAAGAATTTTAGAAAATACTGGCTTCTGGTGTGTTTTTTCCTACCTGTATATAACATGTTTTGACAGTACCCATTCCCCCATTGCCTAGTGTCTTTGAATAATACAAACAACAGTCGTCCTTGACAGAGCCAGCTCTGGACAGTGGAAATGATAGCACCTCACTAAACATGGTGACATTTTAGTCAATGACAGATGGCACATACAGTGATGCTTCCCCTGGATTATGTGACCCAGATCCCACTGGATTATATACTAGTGACAGCTAGTCATATCTGCACTAGTCTGTGTGAATGCACTTTGACTGTCACAGTGACAAAATAGCCTAATGACAAATTTCTCATTAGGTGACACTTGACCGTATTAAAGTCCTGTGACAAATAATGGGTCAGTACAAAAGCACACAGGACAGTGCCTAGGTTGTAGCACTCTATACCTCTCTACATCTTTGTTAAGGTTGTTATTTTCATGACTTTAAAAAGATATGTAGAGCAAAAATCAAAAAGAAAAGGAAACGTGTGACGGGTCAGAGGGAGCGCTGAGGTTTGCCTGTTTGCCACACAGAGAAAAATTGCACAGTGAAATCTCACAGCTCAGAGGCAAATTCTGTCCTCAACACCCACAGACTGTGCCTCAGTTCCAACTCAGAGGCCATGGGAGAACTGCCTTTCCTTCGCCTCCACTGAGGGGCCCTGAGAGCTGTGCAGCAAAAGATGCCAGCAGCTTCCACTGGTGTCCCTGTCCCGCTGGCTCCTCTGAGCCGCACCCTCCCAGTCCGCAGTGACCTCCGACGTAAAGTGACAATGGATGAATGTGGCCACAATGACACTTAAACCTTTGCACACTGCAATCCACCTTCCGAATCCCTCAGTAACGTTGCCTAATTAATCACCTTGTGTACTGCATCCTAAATTAATTGAATTAAAAGTAATTAAATCCAGGAAATTGAAATTAGTCTAATTAGATTAGAGGCACATCCAGAGATTGTTGTGAGGGGTGCCACATCAATTGGCCAATTTCAGAGTAGAGAAAATATACTTCGACTATAGAGAGGCGCTGAGGGGGAAAGGTAGCTGCACAAAGGACAAGTCAAGGTGGACTCAGCAAAGTCTCTGAGGAAAACACCTAACAATGACAAAAGCTTGCTCGGGCTACACGTGGTTTAGTCCCTAGTAAAGCCCTCTGAAGGAAGTGTTGCCTTTATTTCTGCATGGCAGATGAGAAGTCAGAGCTGTAGCTCCTGGAAGATTGTGGTAGAAATTCATGTGGTGGGACTCCAGTGGTCTCTCCAGCCCTCTCCAGCCAGCCTTCCAGATCTTTCCATAAGGTTGGCTACATGCAGTGAGCAGAGGATAACGCCGCACGGCGGCCCCATACTGATCAGCCAGTTGAATCAGGCAAAGTCAAAGTCGCAGTCTCTCATTTTCGTTTCCCCATCGTGTATTTGATAGATAAAATTCATATGCATGCTCTAGGTCTAGGTAGGCCGGAGTACGTAGTTGCATTTTCTCGTGTTAGTTCCCCAAGTCACAAGCCCCATGAGGGAACGCAGAAAAAGCCAGAGGACACAGCATACATAGTGATAAATATTTTCAAGTGAATAGTGGGCTCTCCTGCCCTTGGGTTTCACGGGAGATATTGTCTGCTAAGGTTGTTTGCAATACAACATCCTATAAAAGATCGTCTGGACCAAACTACTCCTGTTCTTCAGAAACTCACAAGCCCCAGGAAGAATCATTTCCCAAAGATATTAACCTGCATTTTACAATCTTAGCTTCTGGCCAACTTTCCCTTAAGTATTTCCCTTGATCCTCTCCAATAGGATCAGCCAAGGGTGGGACTAAATGTGTTGTTAGGCTCCTATGACATTTAATTAAGACCGCTGCCAGCAGGACTCTAAGCAGCAAGGTAAGATAGGAACCACACCTTGCCAGAGTCTCTGACCAGCCATGTGAACAGATGCCATAAACAATCAAAGTCCCTCAGGGAAACCAGGCAAAGTCCATCTTCTGCCCCTGGACACCTCTTTCCATCTGACCAAGGAAGGAAGCCAGGCAAAGGAGGATGGATTAGGGGCTACCTAGGTTCCATCGTGCCTGCAAGGAAAAAGATTCAGATTATTCTGAGGGTCGAAGTGAGATCAGCTGCCTTCAGGGTCAAACTTCATCCTCCTTTTAACTGGGAGGACTTGCGTGATAGAGAAAACCATCCAAAAGGCACACATAAGTAGAGCCCTCACCCATCTAGGAAGCTCCCATCTGGGGGACTATGTGATCTGCCAGTGGTGTTGACTTAAACCTCTGGTGGTGAACCTACATTACAAGGCCTGCAGTGAGTTGTTCGCATCATTTATAGCTCTAAAAGCTCAAGTGTCACTGACTTAAACCTAAGGCTTCAGATAAAAGCCAAATTCATGTCTGGCTTCCACATAAGAAGCACTATCTCAGGGGTGCATGTGTTGCCCCTAAAAAGAAAATATTATTTAGAATTGTTAGGAACCTCCAGATGGGACCCACATCCATTGGAGAGCAGGATTATTCCCTTCAATGTGGCCTTTCAATGGGTTCGTGACAAGCTGTAAGGTTGTCCCTTGGCTAACTGAGTCTGGTGGAGTCCTTGTTTGCCTGAAGGTCATCTGTCCAGCCCAGTCTGTTGTCTACATCTCTATTCAGGTGACATTGGCTTGCCCCAAGGAATGACAGGGCAAAGTCTGTGAGAATAGGGGTAAGGGACATCCGGACACCTGCTGATGGGCATTTTCCAAGGGAAGTGCGGGAGCTGGGGCCAAGGGGATGGGAACCAAGAGCCAAAGGGAAGTGAGTGGCACACCTAGCAGTCCCCACAAGCTCCCGCTCAACTCAGACTAGTGTGGGAGGCAGGAGTGAGATCCTTGATCAAACATGCAGAAACCCAAGCAGTCCCTGTGTTGGCATATATAGGCCACCAAGGACCTGGATGATCTGTGACCACAACCAGGCGGTCACTATACAAAGGACCTAAGATCATATTGGTCCCATCAAGAATGCAGGTGGCTGAGCCAGGATTAAGTGGTCTTCCCAGACCTCCACTTGCCAAGCTGAGTATCGCCCTTGGGAACAAAAAGATACTTCCAGCCTAGGAGTAGTCAGGACAGAATCCTGAGTTTCCAAAATCAATCTGATTATGCAATGAAGCAAGATCAAAAATCAGGAGGGAAGGGGGAGGTGAGGATGGAAAGGGAGGAGCTAAGGCCGCCACTGTAGCTACCGGGAACAAGGTAACCTGCCATCTCTCATCTCAGTCATCTGCCTTTGGATCACTCCCTAGTCAGGAGCAAGCTCCCTTGGTGGACCTTTGAGTAGCTCTCATAGCATGAGGCCAAGTCTGTGCAAAGATTAAAATTTGCATCTCTCAAGAGTGGAGCCACCATTAGTTTTGAAATGACAGTTTTTCCATCCATCACAGGACTATGCACCTCCTGACCCCCTTCTTGGGCATCTTGCCACCTTGCTGCTCACTCAAAACCATGCTAGGAGGGCCTCCAGTGGCAAAGATCAGCTCCCCGAATTGCTGGTTATATCTGACCCAAGATGCGCAGGAGGCTTTCTAGAGATGCGTGCACTGGGTATCCTTCCAGGAAGCTTCTGTGATAGTAACTGAATTGAAGATGGAAAGAAAGAAGGGGAAATGAGGAAGCCTGTATTCCCTGGTCAGGAGCCGCACTGCTAACTTCCCAGAGGGAAGGTGTTGCTGCAGGAATTAGAGGGTGCGTCAGGGGCTGCTCAGGAAGTTGTACCAGGGCAAAGGGATGGTGTCTTCCCAGCTTCCCAGCTCTCTCCCCCACTGCCTCCAGGAATGTGACGTGCTACAGGCAGGCTGGTGAAAGGCTGGCAGTGGGCCTCAGCTTGAAACAAAGTCCTTGGTGGTTGTCTTTGAAGATGCCAGGCAGCATTATTGAGGGGCAGGATAGAGCAGGCAGGAGCAGCCCCCCCCCATAGTGCACCCCACCACTACTAGCTACTAACCAACAATTAGCCTGACCTTTTCCTGAGAAATTACACCCACTGCAACTTCCACTGCTGCTCTGCCTAATTTGCTGCACCGCTGGGGGGAAGACAGCCCTGAAGAGGAAGAAAAAGCAGCTGCTTTATTTCCACCATCAAAGGCAGAGCTGGATGGTGCATGGTGATTTTCAAGGCAATTCAAAATTAACTTCAGATTAGCAAGTGCCGGCTCCCTCCTTCCTACCTCGCTCCTTCCTGGGTTCTCGCCCTCTCTGCCCTGAGCCTAACTTTGCTCAGGCAGCAGAACTGCTCTCAGCCTGCATGTGCTCCACTCTGAAGCCAAGCCCTGCATTTCCACTTTACCCCTTCATCCCTCTGGGCAGTGCTTCCCACTTCCTACAAAGGCATCAAACACCAAGCGTGCTCTTGTTCCAAAAAGCAGCCGTGAGGTGCAAAAGGGCTTCCTAGCCAAGAGGCTGCTGCTGGTGTGTGTTTGCAGGAGATAATCAGCCATCGGGCAGGTAGGGTGTGTCAGGCACAGCGATGCATTCCTTAGTGCTCCCCAGCTGGGCAAGGAAATGGCAGGGAGAGAAGGGCAGAGAATCAGGACACGCAAGGGAGATTGCATTTCAATCTGTTAAGAGCCTGTGTATCCCAGCATCCCACCTGCAGAATTCCAGCAGCCCAGGCCTCTATGAGTGTTGTCCCTAGGCCCCTTTTCTCTGCCCTGTCTCCCTTGCTACAAGTCAGCTCCACAACAAAAGGGACCTCACCCCACCCTAGGGCCCTGCAAAAGCCCGACCCAAGTCCTCCAGATGTTCTGACCACAGCCAAGACTCCATCACTACTTGTAAACTGGATGATGGCTTCCTTCAGATGGTGCAAGAGCTTGTTTTTCTCTGAATGGCCCAAGAAAGCACACATGTGAAAAATATTTCCAACCTCATCTTTGTTTCTACTTACCCCGGAGCGGTAGACGTGTAACCAAATTTCCCTTCATTGTTCCACTGAGGGCCAGGCAGTTTCCGGTGCAAATATAAATTCAGTGATGAGGCCGTCTCCCTTCTGTGCCATAACTAACTCACTTAGAAGATGGAGACGTAAGTCCTGCCCTCCTGAGTTTCCTCTGGTTGAGATCCAGCTGGGATGCACCATAGTCAGGACAACCTAGGCTCCCAGGCCCTGGGACCTTGCAGATAATTTATGTGGAGAAATTTCTCCAACACAGACACCCCCGGCCAGGCTACACTGTGTAGAGGCAGCTTTGAACAACACACAACCCCAGCCTGCACGAGGGAGGCACCGCTTGGAATCCAGCTTGGACTGTTGTCCCTATGAGAACTGAGCTAGAGGGACCCAGCAGACCTCCCTGGGAAGGTGGCCATGAGCCTAGGCTCAGGTTCCGGGGAGATCATGCCAAGCACTTGGGCAAGCATGATTGTGATCTGTTTGAGGAGTGGAAAGGGATGCAGTATAGTGAGGGCACAGCCAGCCAGGAAAAAGGGAGCTTGGAGGAGACGAGGATGATTATTCCATGGGGATTTGTGTCCACGGTAAGCAGTGGGAACATTGCTTTTGGGTGTAACAAGACGTGATTAAAGAGCTTTGCTTAGGAGTATGCTGGAAGCTGCTCTAGCTATGGAGTGGAACACAGCAGGCAGAACAGCTCGGATGGAGAGTTGGGAAGTTGTGATGGTCCATCAGGGAAGGTCCACTGGCTTGGCTAGAGATGGAGGTAAGGTGGAAAGAAATGGACAGATTCAGGATGTAATTCAGACATGGAGCTGGTGAGTCCTACTAATGGATTGCAACGTGGGGAGCAGAGGGTGTTAGCACCGGTCACTGGGACAGAAGACCTGACAAGGACCCAGTTGCAGAAGAGGATCTACCTCAGTAAAGTGACCAGAGTGGGGTAACTGTTGTCACCCTGCTCCTCACTGTCACCACTGGAGTGGAGATCGATTTGCCTACAGGGCTGACCCTTCATCCTCCTGCTACCTGGATGAAAGCTCACAGCTTGACCTCACTAGAAACTGCCTATCCTGAGGTCACACTTCCTCCCAAGTAGCCCTGGCTGCCGACTGTCCATGTGTGGGTTCCCAGCCCTGCCTTGGGTTGGGAGACCACTGTGATGGTCTCTTAACTCTAGATCCCAGGATGGGCCTCACTGGGGCTTCGCTAAAGCCGTGGTGCTGGACACCTTGTCCGTGAGGCCACCCTGATTCCTCTCTTCCTCATGGGGACATCTCCCACAGGTGGCCCAACTGCTCAAACCACACCCAGGCTGGGCTGGAGAACCTAGTCTAAGACAGCTATGGTATTGTCTCCAGCATTATCACCAGGTCACTTTCCAGCCGAGCACCTATCCCGAAGGGATCTGAAAGAGCCCTTTCAGGCTTCTCCAGCACCTCCTGTCTGAAATGCCCAGATCACCAGACCCTGTCCCCCTCAAAGGTCCTTCAGAAGACATGGGCCCATACCCGAGAGCTGCAAGACATGTGGTAAGGACAGAGGCTACCACCTAAACCCTATCCCCAGAGGGCAGGAAATGGTGAGACAACAGCATGGCCTGCTCCCTTGTGTGGTCAAAGCAAACCATCCCTATTTGTCCTCCTGTGGTCACATAGGAGCCAAGTTTGTAAGAACCGTGCTTTCGTTTGCGTGTGTGTGCATATGTGTACGGGTGTGTGTGCTTGCATATGCATGCGTGCACATGTGTGGCACATGCCCACATGTTACAGATGCACAATGTACTTGTAGCTGAACGGATGTAGGGCCATCACACCTGACTGTGCAAGAGGGTATCCTCCTCGGCTTGCCGAACAGCACCCTGCTGCAGGTAGCCCTGCCCTGAGCGGCTCCTGCCTCTGATTTGCACAGAGGCTTTGAGGGAACAGAAGCAAGGGGCCACCATCCACCCTGGGGGGCAGCTCCACATTGCCCTGTGCCTCTCTACTTCGTGTCCTCCTGTGAACCCCTGGGTATTGGCTGCTGCCCCTCCTCCCCTGCCAGGCTCCCTCCCGCCAGCACTGTGGGCAGGCAGAGGGGGAGGGATTGCATCCAAACCACTGCTTCCTGTTCCTGGCACCCCTGCCACACTTCCCCCCAGCAGCCACAGGTGACTCCAGTTCACCCCCTTTGGGGCAGATGCAACCACAGCACATGGGCCTCAGGGACATCAGCCCAGCCCGCCCACACCCCAACCTCAGAGTTTAGCTCCCAGCCCTGCAGCATCTTCTGCAAACTTTCAAGTTCAGTAACTTTACCCGCTCTTGTGCTAATGTGGAAATGGCTTCTTTTTGCATGTCCTATCTCTGTATGGCCTCAATGGCCACTTGGGTAACTCAAGGTGAACCAGTCAGCCTGAACCCTGGGCTTTGCTAGATGCAAAAGTAAGCTTCCCCGGGACCGATGTTCAAGGTACCTCATAGCCTCTCCTGCTCCAGCTCTGGCCCCATGATGCAGGCTCAGTCACAGCAGGCCTGGTTCTAAGTAACTACTTCTTAATGCCTGAAATACCTCTGCTTCTTGCTCCCTCACTGTGAGGCATATGGTTGCAGAGATCTCTGGCAGCCGTTTTGTGACCGTGAAACAAGCCACCCTGAGATTAGCAGGTATCCCTAGAAGGACTCAGTCAAGAGAACAGCATAGCCAACATCCTGACTGTGCCAAAACCCACACTGCTTTACTGTTGGATCCTGTGTATGTTTCCTCCTGTGTTTTGCAGTCCCTCAATCATCTTTCTGTTTCATACATAGCTAAACTAAGGCCCAGCCCTGGGCTTGCAGGACCCTGGTCTTTTGTCTACCAGACCAGTGTTCTTCCATAAGCCGTGAAACCTCTCACACCACACCGCAGGCAGCAACAGCGCCCCATCAGTGTTTGTTGACTGGGTTAACTACTGAAGGAGAAAAGGATCAGAGGGAAGTTGAGGCAGGGTTCCAGGGTGAGCAAGAGTTTGGAGTGAGAGAGAGATGACACAGAGGGGTTCAGGGAGAAGAAACGTCTAAGAGTCACGTGATCATATTTGCAGTTCAGGAAGCTTCATTGAGCTCCAGGCTTGGCAGACAAACCTCTCCTTGACTCTGGGTCCATAAACCACACAGATCCAAAAGTACATGAAGCAACTGAAAGTGCTCATGAAGAGCTTGGCGTGCCACATGCAGTCAGGGGCTCCTCATCATAGGCGTGCGGAGTGACTGGTGGCTCCAGTTTCTGAATTCCCACGCCGGGCATGTCGTGACGAGACCCACTCCTGGGCTGTGAGAGCTGGCGGCACTGTCAGGAAGCCTGGGTTCGGTGTGCCTCTCGCCTGGTAGCCTCCGCTTTCCTTACGTGATGTGTGACAGAAACACACAGTTGCAATTTTAAAAATTTATCGCCGTGAAGACACTGGCCCGTGAATCCCCCTCCACATTCTCTCTGGCTTCAGACACATTTATCCTGTCTTTCTTGCTGCTTCCTGAAGCAGGTTCTGGAAGCCCTCTTCTGTGAATGTCTCACTTATGCTGATGCACCTGCTTCAACGTTCTGAATTAATTCAAAACATTTACTTTTCATGACCATTTTGATTTGGGGGAAGAGCCAGAAATCACCCTGTGCCAGATCCAGTGAGTAGGGTGGATGGTGGTACTGTGTAGTGTTTCCGTGAGTCTGGCTGTCTGTTGTTAGCACTTAGCAGCCACACCCACCAGGTTGTTTTTTTTTTTTTTTTAATTGCACTGTTAAAGACACCTAGGAAAGAGGACTTCCAGAACTGCTTCAGAAAGAGGCGAGAATGATGGGCTAGTACATTCAGAAGCAAGGGGGAAATAGTGTTAAAGGGGATTGATTCATGGCAGTGTGTCTTTTGTTATAATCAATTTTTATTTTTATTTACTTATTATTTATTTACTTTTGTTGTTGTTTTAGACAGGCTCTCACCTGCAGACTTAGCTGGCCTTGAACTCACTGGAGAGCCCAGGCTGACCATGAACTCTCAGTGATCCTCTTGCCTCAGTCTCCTAAGTGCAAGGATTACAGGCATGCACCCTCATACCCAACTATAATACATTTTTAAAAATGTAAATATTCACAGTATGTGGTAATCACACCACATATGAAAACACAAAATAAAACAAACCCTCTCTGCCTTACCTTTGGACCATGTTTCAATATTTAGAAGTGCTGGGTTTTAGAGACATTGCATGGGACACACTACACTACAGAACAGCCCACGGGTTCTGGGTTGCAATCAAATGCATTAATATTTCTGGAGGGAAACATATATAGATATTTACAGTCAATGGACTAACTAAGACCATAAATAACTCACATCTATCCTCACTTGCCAGCTGTATAAGTTTATTGGTGGTGAGAACTTTGGGGATTTTTGGAACTGGAGGTAGGGGATGTGGTTCATAGCAGAGACCCATTGGGAGAACTGAATGAGGCATTCCTCAGTGTGTCAGCAGTGTGGCATTTCTCTTGCTCCTTCATGAGCACATCCCCAGTGGGCTCCAAATGAACCTTCCCATCCCGACCCTGAGAAAGGCGATTCTCTTGGGGCCTCCTCTAAGACCTGTTAATTGAGGTCAAGCTGCCACCAACCATCTGATACTACCAATACTAGAGTCCTCTTTACTGAGCTCAGGGTCCATGGAAGAACATGCTGGTAACCAGAATTCTGTGACCAGCCTCTCCGTCACTGATGGTCGAACCCTTCTCTCTGCTCACTTTCCAAGAATGGTTTTCCTTTCACCCTTCAGGTTTCACCACAGGAAGCCAAGCCAGGTGTATAGGACTCAGCTGCAGATTTCAGTGCTAGGTTAAGGTCAAGATCACCAAAGTGAACCTTTATCACACCACACAGAAACCAGATACAGGACTGGGCTGGGGTGACAAACCCAAGGCACCTCTGAAATGAGAGAAATCCTAGCTACTACCATGCCTTACTCCTTTCCTGTTCCTCCTCTGATCTGTGAAATGAGGCCAGTGCCAGAGATTTTAACCAGGACAAGGTAGCTGGAGCAGAGAAGGCTGGCCAACAGGACGTATTGAGTATCTACTGCCACCTTACACAGACTCTTTGAAATAAATGATTTAAAGCATAGCCATCACTTGATATCCCCCACTGGCACTGACTAGCAAAAATAAAAACCCAAAAGAAGGGCTGGAGTAGCAGACTTTTTCCTTGGCCTCCAAGAATCTCCCACCAAACACTAAGAAATGGCTCACCACAGGAGTTATTAACTCTGACTCAGCCAGGAAGGTGGAGATTCTGGAGGTCACCACTCTCTGTCCCTTGGATGTGGTCCAGGGACCTGAAACCAGGGCCTAGGGTCACAAAGCCAGCATGCCTGATTTTCTCAGTTCCAATAAGGGTGTGTAAGCAGAATAAGCAACTTAACCTCATCTCTGTTTCCAAATTTCAGCTTGAAGGCATTTAATGGGTTGAACTAAATTCACAATCAGATATCTAGCTGCAAGGGAGTCAAGACAATGTACTGCTACTGTTATTTTTTTCATCCTTTGCAATAAAGGAAGATTTGCTAGGAGGAGGTAAGAATGAGCGCTGAGGATCATAAGATGATCCTTTCCTTGAGTCCCATCTAAGGCTTTGACAGAAGGTGTGTAGAGAGACAGTGGGAAACTCAATCCAGGTGTCAGTGTCAGGACCTGGTGTACAGCATAGGCAAACCTCATGGTCCCACCTTACAATTTTATGCCTTATAGGAGCTCACAGCTCTGCATAGTGCACTGCTGATGGAGGCCCAGGAACTTCTGCCTCATAGTGTTTTTTTTAAACCCCTCATAGTCTTTGAGCATTAAAGAGACCAGTGCATGATGTGACTAAGCCATACCTCCTGTCACCCTATTCCCAGACTCTGAATGTGAAGCCTGAAATGTAAATGGATGATAGCTAGCAGGGATTTCTTTTCTCAAAAGTTTAGTCCCATTTCTGCAGCTATGTCAGGAATATTCATTTGCTGTGACAGTTAAACTTGATTGGCAACTTGATTGGCTGGAGAACCACTCAGAGGATTAATAAAACACACTTCTGGATATGTCTGGGTGAGTCATAGAGACATGACCTTGGGGACTCTATCTGCTTCCTGGTCACTTCCTCTCTGATACTGTTCCATTGCTCTATTTCCAGGCCACCATGAACTAAGCAGCTTTGCTCTGCTCTTCCCTTCTGCTGTGATATTTCTACCATGGATCTAGTTAACCATGGATTGAATCCCCTAATGCAATGAACCAAGTTAAACCTCTACCTAGAAATTGTGATACTGGATATTTTGTCCTGGCAACTGGAAAGCTGACCAATACACTTGGTTACTGTGTCTGCCTAAGATTCTTTGCCATTTCACCTAAGCACTTCTCCAGTATCTCCCACATTAAGCATCTGTTCTAACCCTTTGCTAGAATATATGTGGCTTCCCACTGTAAACAGGTACACCTAGCTCCTTTAAATTTAAATGACTGGAAGTCCTCTAGATTCACATGACCAGAACCACAAATCCTTGCTCTGTGGCTGACCAAGGTCTCCCCCAAACCTCACTGGACTCCCTGATCAGGGACCAAGACCTGAGCATGTCTCAGCCTTGGGCCATCTTCCTAGTATACCTGTTCCACCCATGATCTAGCCATGAAGCCCAGCCTCATCTGCAAACCTACACAGAGCAGCTGACACAGAGCCTCAGGTGGGACAGGACAGGTGTCCTGAGAAGATTTTGAGCACATTGCCTGACAACCACCCAATGGCTTCACTCTTGTTCTTTTCTTTTCTTTTTGTTGGGATGGGGAGGTTGAGACAGGGATGGGGAGGTTGAGACAGGGTCCCTATGCAGTTCATGCTAGCCTTGAACTCAGTGCATAACCCACGCTGACCTCAAATTTGTGGTGATCCTCCTGCCTCAGCTGCCCAAGAGCAGGAATTACAGGCATGTGCCACTATGCCTGTATTTTTTAACAGAAAAGTGAAAATGTGTTAGAGAACCACTCTGACTCTTAAAAACTTTTTGACTGCCGTCCCTCAACAGCCACATATGTTTCGAGTGGGTCCACCACCCACAGAACATCCCAGCATCTCATCAGCTTGACAGCTGCTGTGTCTTCCTCCTCCTCCTCTGTTTTTCATCTTCCTTAAATTCATTCTTACTCCCCCATCTCAGGAGCCAAAGTTGAGATTTTCTCATCTTTACTGTGAAGGCAACTTGTTATTTGAGGGTCCAGCTGACATTTTTGTTCTCAGAGTCTCTCTCTAGCCCAGTGACTTATCAAGGAAATTTCTCAAAGACAGCTTTTATCTCTTACTGGATTTTCACTCTAGCTGTTAGAACATTAAATGTTACACCTCATTGCTGCCATGTGTACCAACTTTCATACATGCAGAAATATCTTATGCATTGCAATAAAATCATATCTCCTAATGTCTTCATATAGTGAGAACCATGCCTATAAAACCACATGCCTCAGTGTCTTCATATAGAGACAAACTCTGCCTAGAAGTTCTTTAAAGTGAGTGTGCAAGTAGCTCAGTGGTATAAGCACTTACCTGGCAAGTGCGAGTCCTGAGTTCAATCCCTGGTACCAAAAAACAAGAAACTAAGATGAGTGTAGAAGTCCTGTCTTCGAAAAACAAGAACAACAGAAGCCTCCTGTGTTCACACAGCTGTGAAATGACTCGCCCTCCCTTCCCTGTGTACCCCCTCATCGCTGAATCCTTACCTTTCTTGGTGCTGCCCAGCCCAGATGTGCCACACAGCACATGGGGTGTACATCAACCACAGGACAGTGGAACCTGACTCTGTGTGTGTTTTCAGGGAACACAGAGAGCCAAGAGAACGTATCCCAGAAGGGCTACGCGGGCTGGCCTCCCACTAGCTGACACACGTGGTTTCTTTCAAATGAGGCAGCCAAGATGGGGATGGGAAATGAACAAGGCAGTGCTCTGAAGAAAAGTCCCCATCCTCTATGTCTCACACATACCAGCTAATCTAGGTGTGGACCTGTGCAGGGATGGCCCACTCTCATCGATGCCATCACCAAATAATACACTGTCCTGTGCACTCTACATGAGTAACATCCCGGGCTCCCCCCTAGATGCAGTAGGGCTGCCCACCCCTCAGCAGGGGATAACCAAACACATTTCTAGAATGTTCTCCACAAGCAATTTTCTCCCAGTTGAGAGCCCAGTGCTCTGTACCTATATAGACACAAACCGTACACACCGAAACATATACATCCATACAAACAATGAAATATTTGTATGTTTTTACTTTAAATTGGCATCTGGTATAAACTTTTCACTCACTAAGCATATGCACTGACAGAAATGTGACATATTTTCTTCCATTTCTCTTTAAAATTAATGTCATCTGTGATAATAGTGACATTTGTGGTGACTAAAAATTAGAGCCATTTTATCTTTCTAGAGATGGCACTTACCAGCAAGGAGAGGGGTTTGAGGTTTGCTTTGCTTTCGGTGGCTCTTTCTACTCTGGCCACTGGCCCTTCAAGTTATGAGAGCCCAGATGGACAGATGAGGAGCCACTGTGCCCTACACCAGTTCCATCAGGCAAGACCTCCCATCATCTCCATGCAAGTCAACACACGAGGATAAAAAGGCAGGTTCGTGCCCTTCCTAAATCAGGCTTACTACAGTGCACTAGTCAGGATATGCTAAGCTAGGAGGCAGTAACAAATAGTACCATCACTCAACAGCAGGCATTCGAGGCATCTGGTATTTGTTTCTTTCCCCAGCTTTATGGCAGCTACAGGTCATGCTCTGTGTGGCTGTTGACTCATCTTATGACCCAGACTGACTAAGTGACCGTATGGCAAACAGCAGAAGCACACATTCACTGTGAAAGTGTCTACTCCAAGGGGGTGTCACCTCAGCTCACATTTCAGTGACCCTGAAAAGGCCCATGCCCGCACTTCAACAGGTGGGGAAGACACTGCCTCTGCAGGAAGGAGGTCGGAAGCAACTGGGCTGACCTCCTGCACCATCCCTGGGGGCTCCCAGCCCAGCCCAGCCCCAGCCCCAGCCCTACCCTGCTTGATCCCCACACTTTCATCCCTTCAGTTTGGGGTTTCGCAAATTTCTCTCTTCTTCTACCCCCAGTAGGAAAATTGTCAGAATCTTCCTTTTTTATTTAGCCACCATCTTCCTGATCTTGTTCCTTTCTTTAATAATAATCAAGAAGTTTTCAAACATTTCTAAACCCGGAGTACAGTTTTCACTGAGGTTGCACAGATTGCCTTCCAATTCCAAACACATAAGATTTATGACTTGGAGTTGTTTAGAAAGAAAGTCTGCTGCAGGGTTCCTAGACAGGGTGCTGCTGACATTCGCAGCTGGACATGTCTCTGTTGTGGGGCAGTCTTGTGCACTGTGGGGTATTTAGCAGCATTGTGGGGTACTACTCACTGGATACTTGAAGTACCCCAAGTTATAACAACCAAATTGTGTCCAGATTGTCACACATCCCCCAAGAGGAGGGGGCCAAAACTGTGAATGGCTCGCTTTCCCTTCCCCAACTTATTGAGTGCTTGCTAAGAATCCACTCATCTATCCAGAGCAAAATTAGAAACTAAATTCAACATAACACGGTATTTGCACAACCCCGAGCACAAGGCGATGGGCCCCCGAAAGGGAAGCCCTGGCTGGGGTTCGCAGAGGACACGTTTAAATCTGAGGAAAGCTGGAAAGTAATGCAGTTCATACAGCACATTGTGCTTTGCAGATCACTCTCATGTTTTGTCTCCCTTGAACCCGAAGTGACACTGAGAGACTATCGTTGCTCCCCACAGTTTACAAATGAGGAAAGCGAGGCTCCAAAGACTTCCTTAAATCATGGCAGTACTAGAATAAGGATTTGGGGACCCTAATTCCAAAACTGATTCTTCTGGGGCCTGTGCAAAAACTCAAGGAGACCCAGGGAGCCAGGAGTGTTTATCAATGGCACTAAACGGTGATAACGCTCTCTGCACCCGTGTATATCCAGATATAAGTGTCTTGGCCTCAGAAAAGATGAGGACTTTCTTACCAAAAATGCAAAGAGAAAGACAAAAAGTCAACCTTTTTCATTTCAAAATAAACGTTCGGTACTCCTAGTAGATTCAAGTTCTAGAAAGTTAAAGCTGTCAGTTTGCAAAAACTGTTCTCAGTACTAAGTGCTTACCTATAGAATCACCTGGCGTAGCTCTGAAGGAGCTGAGGCAGAGAGTGTGGCTTAGAAGAGAGGTGGAGTCACTGCTGTGCTGTGGAGATCAGATACAGACAACCAGGGGCAGGAGAGGAAAGGGCCACAGAGCGGTGAGGCGGGGGAAGGAGCCGTGTTCCCTGCTCCTCTTCTGGCTCAAATTGCAGTGGGAGAGGAAGTCAGAGAACCAGAAGTCTTTGTCAAGTTTGAAAAGTGAGAAAGGAAGAACCCATGGACAATAGCACACCTTGGAGAGAGACCCACGTCCAGCCTGCATGGGGGTCGCATTCAAAGCACTCTGTGCCCACCATTGATCCTGCAGTGTTGGGTTGTGTTTGCACTTACGAGTCCCAAGGACACATCTGGTGTACACAGAGATGTGGCCCAGGAAGTGAGTTAGGCAGACCACAAACCTGTACTGTCAACAGTGGCCACAGAGGAGGCTTGTAGAGGCCTCTTGCTGCTCCTGCTTCCAAGTCTCTGAGCCTCTTGAGGCTTGCTGCTTGCTTGATTAGTGCTTTAAATCCTCTATTTGTCAACAGACCCCCATCTAGACCCACAAAAAGAAGTCCCAGTGTGACCCCCCACATCACCCGGACCCAGCACCAGCTCGGTGATACAGCCCATTCTCCAGAAGCCCCAAAGGTGCCACCTGGGCTTATCGGGTCGCCCACCTGGTAGCATTTGTAGGAGATGCAGCTTATCAACTTTTACTTTTTTCCTGGTGCAATTTCAAACTAAATGCTAGGTACTGTTTTTGGAGGACCGTAAAGACTTGGTCTCAGCTCCTTCACCTTTTTTGAATGAGATTCCTGACACATGGTACAACTGTGTCATAGACACCTGCAGGTGAGGGCCATACAAAACCCTGATGCAAACCTAAGAAACAAAACAAAAAGCTTTTATCTTTGCCCCCTGTGGCACAGAACCATTGGACAGAGCTCTTCCTGATTCTGCAGCTGGGGAATGTCTGTCCCTACCCTTTGAGTCCATGAGGCTATATATTGAGATGACAGGGCCCCGGGTGGGAGGAGGCAGGCACATTGGACCATTTGTGCTATCACCAAAAAGTTAAAAATTAAAAACAAAGCCAAATGAAGTACTGCGGCCCCTCCTCGTTGCTTGTTGACAGGAAGTGACAGAAAATAGTGCTGACCCAGCTGAAAGCGGCAGGATTTGAAGTCGACATCAGAGTTCCACACACCATATTTCGGACTTGCAAATGCCTTCCAAAAATAGCCAGAGTGTCCTTATTAAGCCCAGCTTGCAATGCAGCCTTACTTAGCGCCGTCTGCTCCAGCGCTGTATAATTCATGGCCTTGCCTTACGGAGTTAGGAGGAATCAGAACCGTAACCAGCCCATGAACCCAAACTGACATTTTAGGGACTTCCAAAGGAGCACAGAGAAAGCTGGAATCTGACCAGCTTGTCCGCTCTGTCCTGAGTGATGCTAGGGCCAGCCTTCCTTCAACGAGCACAGGCCCCTCTGTCTGTATCCACGCTGCAGGCCTTGGGCCCGGCAAAGGGGAACTGTGACCTGGTCACAGGTTTATGCTCAGCCATGGCCTGACAATCTCTGGTAACAGCTCAGAACATAAGCCTGCAGGCCTGTAGTTTCACTGATAGCCAGGAAGGATGAACCAGATCTTGGTGACAATCACCATGGTTACCCCATAAGAGCTCTCCCCACCTGTGGAGTCCTCACCCATAAACTGGTACCTGTCACCCCCACCATACCTCAGGCAAGTGGGAATGATGACCCAGCTCCTGGGGTACGGGGGGGGGGGGAGAGCCTGGGTCCCAGAGCTGGCCTAAAGCCACACAGAGACAGAACGAAGCCCTCGATCTGCACACAGGGGATCTGGCTCTAAAGCCCTGGCTACATAATGCTGTCCACACAGAAGGGAGGCACGATTGTCACAGAAAGAAAGTGACAGAAATGCTATTTACATTTTTAAATCTTGTTTCAAAATTGCTACATGTGTGCATTTTCATAGTGTACATATTGTCACATGAATGTGTGTGTAATGCATAAATAAATACACACGTATGTGTAGCCGACTACGATCGGATTTGTTTTCCTTGACTGTGAGCAGAAACCAAAGCATTTAAAAAAGCAGTGCTCTCAGCACCTTTTGCATGTTGACCCCTGGCCAGGGGTTTCTCCAGAGGGGCTTCAGACAGCCCTCCCTCCTTGGCACCCTTTCTGAGGTTCCTGTCTGAGACGGACCTCCTGCAACCCAGGAGGATGGGAGGGGGGCAATCTCAGGTATCTAATGAGCTCAGGTCCTGGACACCCTTGGGAAAGTCAGAAGAGCTTTCTGGATGAGCTCATAGCTTCCATCATTGTGTACCCAACTTGGCTGGGTGCTGCGAGCTCCTAGCATCTGAAGAGGCTTCCGGAGGCCCTGGCAATGGAATGCAGGCAGAGATTGAACCCCCAAAGCCTCAGCTCCATGGGAGGCAGTCTCCACTGTTGAGGGGATGTAGAGAGACTCTGGAAAATGATTCTAGAAAGTAATGAAGCAGAGAAGAGGGAGAAGAGCACACAGAGCCGGGGCTGGGACAGAGCCCTGTGAGCCTCGGTTTCCTCATCTGTAGAATGAGCATCACCATGAGTTCCTCATACAGTGGTCCCCAAGGATCCATGGTAGCCGCTCAGCACTCAGAACGGCTGCTCATGAGTACACCCCTGCTTCCTTCTGGGCCTTGTGCTTCTCTCTCTCAGAGCAAAGGCAGCCAGGCTGGGGCAGGAGGGATTGCACAACCTGGGTTGTCTCCTCAGGGCCACGGCACAAAGCTTGGCAGAGCTGCAGGTGTAATTGCTAACCAGACATGGAGCTGTTTGAGGTTTGATATCCGAACCTGTACCACAGTAACTTAGAGAGAATCACACACACACAGGCTCCTGCCTCTGCCTCCCAGGAGATCTGGGAAGTGAATTCGGAGTCCAGAGACTGGGGTCCAAGCAGTGTTGTGTGGCCCTGGGCAGGTCACATTCTGTCTCGATGACTGCATCCTCCCCTGTAAAATGGGACTGTTCAGTCTCTAGGCAGTGAGTAGTTAGCTGCCGCTCAGTCTCAGCTTCCAGTGCAAAGGCCTGGTGTAGCGCACCCCTCCACGCTTTCCTGCTGACTTGAAAGCCCGTTGGTATGGGTTCTAAAGCAGGCCTTTCTGACCCTGGTCCTCCCACCCAACACATCCTAGGCCAGTGTGCAAAGCCCAGGAAGGGCAGGTGCTCTCCCCCGACATGGCCAAGGAGAGAACCAAGAAGAGGAACAGAAAGCGTGGAGGAGGAACTTTGCCCTGAAAGAGCCCGGAGCCTATCCAGACTCTCCCACTGGCTGATGGCCTGTCCCCTTGTCACCTCACGATGTACTTGAGAACACTCCCTGCCAGGGTGGTGGTGGAGATGAGCCCCAGTCAGAGAGCAGAGAATGATTTAGACCAATGGGCAGGTGCTGGGGGTGGGTGACAAAGCCTGATGAGCAACCACAGGTGGCCCTGGACTCCAGCACAGAAACCCTGCCACTCTCTGCGGCCCACTACTTAGACACCTGCTGCTGTGCAGGCCTGGCCTCTATGGCCAGTGCAGCACTGTCCCTCCTAGACCGAAAGGGCTTCAAAGGACATTGCATGGAGCTTCACTTCAGCAGAGTCTCTGGGTTTCCCTGAGCCCTGGACACTTGGCTTGGAGCACCGCCTGCTCCCTGACGGCCGCCCCCCGCTGACACACACATGCATGCACCCAGAGATGGACTCTGCCAAGGTCCTGGCACACTGTCCGGGCTGTAGAATGGAGCAGGGAAATCAAAGAAAGATTGGCACCTCCTCCTCCTTTCCTTCTCCCTTCCTCCTTCCTCTCCCCTCCCCAGATGTTCACTGCGTACCCACTGTGTGCCAGCTCTCCCTGCACCCTGAGCACACAGAGGCGTCTCCTGCAGAAGGTGAGGCCTAGGGAGAACAAGAAGAAGGGGCCTAGGAACCAGGCCACCAACCATTTCATGGAAGTCATCACTGGGGGCCCAAAAAGTGGTGTCCCCAGTCCCTACCACACACCCAGCACTGTGTGGCACTGCAAGGACATGGGGTGAGCCAGGCAGAGAAGCCAGGGCTCCACAGATGAAGCCAGGATGCACCAGTGTCTTTCACACCTTGGAGAGGCCGCGGAGGCCAGGGCACCTATGTGTGGACCTGGACCCAGGAGATCACCTCTGCTTCAGAACTGAGCTGCTAGGCTTTGCCTGGCCACCCCAGCATGGCCCCAACCTGGGGTCCAGGTACCCAAGGCTATGAACAGTGCAGTTCCAGGACAGCGGGGCCGAAGAGGGGGTGCAGGACAGAGGGGCTCTTCCTGTACCAGCGTCTCAGGGCTGAATCCCAGAGTGGTACAGCACCTGCAGCCAGGTCCCCTCGTCACGAGGCCTGGTGTTCCCACGGCTCACAGAGTGCCCGGGGGTGGGTTGCAGAGGAGAAAACAGAAAGTGCCAGTGATTCATTTTCTAAATGTCATGTTATTCCAGGCACTCGCTGTGCCAACACCTTCCTCCACCCCCCACCCCCCACTTGCCATCTGAGAGCAGGCTGCCAGGTGGAGGAGGGGCAGGACACTGTCCTGGGGGTGGGGGTGGGATGTCTCTGCCCTGTCCACCAGGACACCACTGGGTGAAGCAGCCGTTGAGCAGCCAGGAGCACTGTGCTGGGAGCCAGGAGACCTGGGGTCCAGCCATGGCTATGGGCCTGGTTGCTGTGAGGCCCTGAGCAAGTCCCTTGCCCTCTCTGTGTCTCCTTTGCACAGGCTCTGGAGAGGGATTTGCAGCCCCTGATATGGGTCATCTGTCCACACAGCCCCAAGATGGACAAATTCTTGGGTCAAACCCCCAGAGATTTAGGCCCAGGATATTGGAGATGAGGCCTGAGGTTTAAAGGTCCAAAGTGCTTGTCTGCCCCATTTCCCTGGTGATTCCAGCATAGTCTGCCTAGAGGCGGGTGGCTGGAAGTCCCTGCATTTGTGTTCAGACTCTGATTCATTTTCAGGACCCATTTGCCTCCTCCACCAAGCCCACCAAACCCTCTCTACCAGTGGTAACCTTTCTCGCTTCCAACCCTGGGCCAGCTTGGGTCCTCAGTGGAGACTGGGTCCTCTGGGCATCACTCACGGCCACCACAGGGAACAGAATTCCCCTAGATGATTCAACCAAAAGGACACAGATCCAGGGGCTTTTTACAAAGATTGGCAGGGTTAAGGGAACTCAAACAGGACAGTGGGGGCCCCCAGAGACCACAGGCAGTGGGCAGCTGTTACTACCTCAAGCCTAAATGGAATAGGGAGCTGGAGCCACAGGAGAAGAGTTACCCCCTAAAAGTGGCAGCCAACAAGGAGATAGCTCTTCCCAGAGACGCGGTGACATCACACAGGCAGATGTGGGAGGAAGCATTCAGCCCCCTGCTCCCCCACCCTCAAGCCCAGGTGGCAGCTGAGAGCATCAGCAACCCCTCTGGTTCCCCTCCAGGCAGACAGCAGCTTGCGGGGGGGGGGGGGGGGGGCAGCACCCCGCTCCTCCATCTCCCACCTCTGCAGCATCCTGTGTGACAGACCTGTCCCTCAGAAGGCTGGGCTTGCAGGGTGACATCAGAAGGCGCTCCCCAGGAAACCGCAGGGATCCAGGAGCTGTCCTAAGCCACCCCTTCAGGGGTCCTCACCTGCGATTTCCTCTCCCCTGGCTTCTGAAGAGGAAGCCTGGGGAGTGGGGGGAGAGAGACAGAGAGAGAGAGAGAGAGAGAGAGAGAGAGAGAGAGAGAGAGAGAGAGAGAGCCCTGCTGGCCCGGGAAAATGGGCTTGGAGGAAAGGGAAGCTTAGCAAATGGGAAATTAATTCCGGCGGTGAAGGGCAGAGGCTGTTGTTTGTGATGTATAACTTACTCTTGGTGTCACGCTGTGTACTGTGTATATCAGTGGGATGGCAAGGAAACCGAGATCTATTACTTGGAGTTTAATCTGTTCTCCGTGCTGGAGAAAGGAGCAGGCGGAGGGGGCGGGTGGGGGAGACTACAACTTTAATCACAGGCCCAACTCGAGATGTCAGGCTGCTCTGGCGGGTGTTAGGGAAATGATGTGGTATTACAGGCTTCCCAGACAGCTTCCCACACCGGGCTTCCTCTGCCGAGCTGTAAATTAGCACACTTACTTTACGCTCTTCAGGTAAAACCAGTCATTTAGCTGAAAAACACACACACATGCACACGGCGCGTGTTGGGGGGAGCCGGGACATGGGGGGGTTCCCTCCTCGAGCAATGAAAAGCTAAGGCGAGCCAGCAAGCCCCGATGGAAATGACACCTCGATGGAAACGGCCCCTCCTGTGGTTAGCGCGCTCGCTCGGGCGCAGCCCCGCCCCAGCCCACCTTCCGCTCTACCTGCCTCGGTGCCTCCCCGCCCCCAACGCCCCTCGCCGTGGTGAACCGTAAATTACATGCTGACACCTTTAATTTGTGCAAAGTATGCCTGGCTGCGCCTGGCACCAGCAGCCGGCTGCTATAATAAGGTCAATCTATATTCATTGTCGCGGCACTTGATGTGCCAGCTAACACAGGGAGGCGGCGCCGCCGCAGTGGTGGCTTCTCCTGGCTGGCAGGGAGGGGTTTTGAGGGGGGGTGCCCGCTGCCGCCCGCCGCGGCCTGGCACCAGTTGGCTCATCACTTATGCATGGCATGAGCGATGTTGTGATTTAGATAATCACCATCAGTTATTCTTTCTATGGCTGCCTGGAGACGGTGGCTGTGCACGCTTGCCTGCCAAAGCCAGAGAGAGACCCCTAGCACCCACCCAACGCTGCCACCCAGCGACCACCCAGCCAGGCCAACTGTCCTTTCTGGAGGTGGCCTGAGAGGTGTGTAGCCCACGAGTGTGGATGCCTAGCTCGGAGGAGGGGAAGCTGTGGAGAGGTCCTGGTGGGTGCTGTCATGAATGCAAAGTCGGTACAAGCCAGGCTCTGCAGTCACTGGGTTCTGGGTTCAAAACCCCTCTCTGCCACTCCAAGCTGTGAGCGCTTAGT